GAAACCGAAACCCCAACAGAGAACATGCAACTCTGCCTTCTCTGCCCTGCTAGGTTCTGGATCTGCTGGCATTTCCACCCTCAGAGCTATCTGTAGTGTGGAGCTGGATTACCTCATTAGGGTCTGCTATCATCCTTTCCAGTGTCATTGAAGCAACCAACATAAATTTGACCAAAATCCGGAAAGCACTGGAAGACAGGAGGGCTTGGCGTGATCTGGTCCATGGGGTCACAAAGAATCAGACACACCTTAACGACTAAACAACATCATCCTTTTTTCCTGGGATGGTTGTATGTGAACTGCTGCCTTCTCCTCTTCACTGTGGAGTTTAACCCTGTTCTAGTCTCAGTGGCTTTTGAACCATGTTGGTCTCATCCTGCCTCATAGCAGAATCTTGTGTGGACATGTACCCACTGGACAATTCAGGAAGCACCACAAGATCCCCATTCCCAAATGCAAAGACAGCTGAGTTCCTAGCTTCATTGCAACTCTCCCCGTTTAAAAGATCCCCATTCCCAAATGCAAAGACAGCCGAGTTCCTAGCCTCATTGCAACTCTCCCTGTTTAACTCTCTGAGTTGCAGACATCCATGGCCCACTTCCATCCACAAGCTTGACATTGCCCATATGTCCCCATATTAGTCATACAGCCATGTATGGCCTTCCTCTAAGTGTATTCATTGGTCTTGTACTGAACCATTGTCAGTTCCTCATCTTTAATTACTTCATCTTTCCTGTTCTTACTCAAGAATATTATCTTTTTCAGTGCCTTTCCCCAACTGTGTTGTATAATGGCCTTCTGTGTATGTTTCTTCAGAGATAAAAGCATATTTCCTGAATAAGAACGGGCCTTCTGTGTATGTTTCTTCAGAGATAATCTGAATTAGAACTATGGCCTTTATTTTGCAAACTTGGAACTGGTTGCACTTCAGTTATAGGGGCTGAGCTCAGTTCAAAGACCAAAGGGGAAATCCAGCTAAACACAATGGCAATGTTCATCTTCTGCTCTATAAAAAGCAGAAATCCTTGTTCTTTTAAAGTTTGCAGGATCATAGAAAAAGAAAGAAAAGGAAATCCCATGTACTGTACAAAACATCAGTCAGCTGCAAGAAACAAACACTGCCCCATTAAAAAAAGGTAACACCTCCCACAACAGTAACAATTCATAAGCACCCACATTTCCTAGCACAAAACTGCTGCAAAGTCATAACCAAAACCCTCTTAAAAATGAAAGAGAAAAGCAATTTCCAGAAATGCCCGAGTCATCTCCCTTGAGAAAACAGAAAGGTTTGTACAGCCCTTAAAACCTAACATCCTGATCCTAACCACATATATAACCAATGTGAACTATGCTTACTCAAAAGCAACTCACACTTTGTTCAATGGCTTTCACAATATGGGTGCACAAAATTATCAGCATATTTACAGTAGTAGGAGTGGTTTGGTACCCATTGGGATTGGCAAGGTAGAATGCCATTGGAGAGGAAAGCAGAGTAAATGGTAGCCTGAACTAACGAATTCTGGTGTTGCCCTCTTCCCCTTTCTTGGCAGGACACTACAATATCTCAGATGCTTCGAAGCAACATGAAACAGTATGAGTAGAGTTAAAGCAAGTAAATATTCTTTGTCAGTGCAAAGTGTGTTAGCTGAAGTGAAACGAATGGTATTTATTACAAAATTGTATAAAAAGTCAAGGCATAGACAGAGAGGAAAGAGACAATAATGGACAATCTTTAAGGGCATTTTTTCATAGCTGACTGGATAAAACAAATCTTATTCTGTTATATTAGACAATGGCTGTGTTTAGTCATTGAGGTGGTGGTGGTGGTTGCATTCCTGGGTGCACATCCAATCGTGTGATCAAGCACAGGCCCAGGAATGCAACCAGCACCTGAGAAGGAGCGGCAGTTTGTCACAAGATTTAAGAAATTTCCATTACACAAGCATAAATCGGATGCAGTCTCAGGATGGAAGGAAATAAATCTTCCTTTATTTCAACTGAAAATTGCCCAACGCACTGCAGCTCCAGGGGCTGTACAGAGTGAAAAAACAAAGAGGGAGACAAAAAAGTGGGACAACACATCACCGCTTCTACATTCATGGCATTTATACATTGCATTGCATATAACCACCTGAAACTTTATACAGTACATTGTTCACAACGAGAAGAATCATCCAGTCTATTATGACAGTTAATGGACAGATGTAACCATTCTGCTTTATACAAACCATGAATCTTTGGTCTATATTAGCTCTGTTTTCTTTTATTTGGCCTGTACACAGTTCCAGCAGGAGAAAGATCCCTTATTTATGGATGTTATCTTACACAGCTATTATTTAGGGTCACTCTGATTAATCCACAGACTTCTGCCTAACAAGGTAAGCCTTATATTCCTAATATTGCCTCAATGCTTCCCTATATGTACTTTAAGGGTCCTGGATATTTTACCTATACAGAGCTTATTAATAGGGGCAACTAATGCCATATATTACCCAGTGGGTGTAAGTGGTGAATTCTCTGACATTGTATTTCTTGCCACTGCAGTGATCTACAGACTCACTCTACATGCATATTGGCAACAAGTGCAATGTCTACAAGGTTGGTAACCATGCGGAGGGGCTGTTCTTGCCCAATATTAAAGGGTCACTTTTCATTTTTCCTTGAGCTCATTTTGATTAGAATGTCCCCAATATTTTGTATCATTTTAAAAGAAACCAAAGGTCTTTCTTGACAACCACCTATATTGTTCAAAATGTATCAAATGTATTTCTTAATGCTGCTTTGTTACTTGTGTCAGCAATGTAATCAAAAGTCAAAATATTGACTTAAAAAAATTAAAAAAAATTAAATTGATTTACAGGGTTTTTTTTTTCCTTAGGAGGTCAGTGTGTGTGGAATAGTTGCCTTTGCAAAGCTGTTTTCCACAACATGATCAGGGTAGCCATTATCTCCTACCTGGCTTCTTAGGAGCTTGGATTCCGGAAAGAAATCTTTCTTTCTGGTGCAGTTTCTTTTGATTCTTAGAAACTGCCTAAATGACAGATTACATCCTAGTGATCTCAGATAAGAGCAGTCAAATGTAAGGTAAGTATTGCAATCAGATGGTTTCCTGTAAAGTGTTGTGTATAATTTACTGTACCTCCTTCTTTTTTATAGTTAGATCTTTTTTTAAAAATGTACTTCTTTATAGTGATAGAAAATATTAAATTTTCTCCTTCTTTTTTATAGTTAGATCTTTTTTAAAAAATGTACTGTACTTCTTTATGGTGATAGTAAATATTAAATTTGCTATCACCATATTTCTCTGGTGGTCCAGAGGAACCCATTGTTGTTGTTGCTTAGCCGTTTAGTTGTGTCCGACTCTTCGTGACCCCATGTCCCAGAGCACGCCAGGCCTCCTGTCTTCCACTGCTTCCCGGAGTTGGGTCAATTTCATGTTGGTCGCTTCGATGACACTGTCCAACCATCTCATCCTCTGTCGTCCCCTTCTCCTCTTGCCTTCACACTTTCCTAACATCAACGTCTTTTCCAGGGAGTCTTCTCATGAGATGGCCAAAGTATTGGAGCCTCAGCTTCAGGATCTGTCCCTCCAGTGAGCACTCAGGGTTGATTTCCCTTAGAATGGATAGGTTTGTTCTCCTTGCAGTCCAGGGGACTCTCTAGAGCTTCCTCCAACACCCATAGCCCCTGCTAGTTATCACAGTGTTGTGCCTGCATTTTTGTGTACCATATGAGCTTCCTCCAACACCCATAGCCCCTGCTAATTATCACAGTGTTGTGCCTGCATTTTGTGTACCATATGGGGATGTACTCATTGTAATCATGCACAATGGCTAAACTGCAGTACTGCAGTCAAGCCTGTGCTCACAAACTGAGTTTGATAGGATGGATTCAGGTAGTTGGCTCAAGGCTGGCTCAGCCTTTCATCCTTCCCAGTACCCAGCTCATGGACTGAAGGCAATGTGTTCCTTGCATAATTACATATATCTTAAACTGTCCAGAGAGTACACTCTAGCACTAGGGGTGGGATATAAGTTTAAATAGTCACAATACAGTAATAGAATCTTTAAAAATCCAATTTCTCTGAGTAATTTTTACTCTTATCCAATCTTAATTGATTCTAACCGCGCCCCCCGCCCCACAAATTATCAGACTTCTCAAAATTCAAATGAACACGGTGGGATACTCTCGTCTAGGCTAATAAGCAGTGGCGTAGATAGGACTTACAGGGTCCAGTTCTCAAGGCTTTCTGAATAAGGCAGCCGACATCATTTGCCATGACCAAATGCCGTCCCTGTTTCCACTGAGCTTGGGCTGCACAGCAAGTGGGATTAAAATGGATTTTCGTGAAGAACTTTCTATGGTTGCGTAGAAATGGTCCTAAATGAGCAACGAAGAGCCACTAACCTGACCAATTTCCACTGAGCTTGGCTGCACAGCAAGTGGGATTAAAATGGATTTTCGTGAAGAACTTTCTATGGGTGCATAGAAATGGTCCTAAATGAGCAAGAGCCACTAACCTGACCAAAGGCCCGCTCCTCATTTGCTGATATTGATTCATCCAGTTGCATTTTGGACCTTCCTCATGGGGACGGGCTGGTGGCTATGGAGACTCTCATGACGGGCACCCGCACCTCCAAAGTCACCACCCCTCATATACTAGACAATCGTCTTGGGATCTCGCAGGTGGCCGGCCACGAGTTGTAGGTGAGAGACCCTTGCGGGGATGACGCCCTGCGATGAGACTGCCCCAAAGCATCCTAGGCAGGTCACCGGTCTAGAGAGTCCGCCTCGGGACACATCGCAGCGGCCGCGGCGCTGCTTTCGACGGTGCGGTCCCCAGGCGCCGATTCACCGGCACCTTCGTTGGGCACCGCCTCCCTCGTCACTTGCGGGAGAGCCCGAGGAGCCCCGGGCCGGCCAATGGGCTGCGAGGAGGCGGAGGAACTGGGGGGGGAGCGTCTGAGCGGGGGAACGGGAACTCACTCCCACAAGGCGCAAGTTGACAGCCTCTCCCACGAGGCAGCAGCAGCGGCAGCGGAGTCCAGGATCTGGCGCGTCGAGAGTGAGCTTCGTTTTCTCGCCTCTCCCGGCGTCTGCGGTGAGTTCTCGTTCCCAACAGGGCAGTTTCCTTCTTACGGGACGTTTGCCAGAAGCGGGGCGACGTGTGTGTGGGTCGGCGGGTGGGTGTTTTGTCAGGCCAAAAGGTCATCGAGTGAGACAGCAGGGGAAAGGCTAGCTAGTGAGCCTTCTGAACAGCCGCCGACGGCCGGGGAGAGGGACGAAAAGGGGGATTCGCTCCGCTTCTGCCCCGAATTTCTTCTCGGAGTTGGAGGTGCTCAGTGTGAAGCCGCTCTCCGCTCCTTCAACTGGAGCGGCGCGATTTTCGCCTGTGAAATGTCAGTCTCCGAATGGGGTGCGGAATTCCGCCCCAGATCAAACGCCTGGAGATGAAGAAGAGGACCTAAATGAATGCTTCGTGGAAAGGGGGACGCCGGCTTGGTTGTTGATAACACAGGAGAGGGCAAACGTACCTCTCCAGGTGTTATTCTTGGACTGCAACTCCCATCACCCTTCCCCATGAATTGCACTGGCCAGGTTTGGTGAGAATTACACGCGGCCACATCTGGAAGGACTTCCTTGCTCACCGCGATGTAGAAAAGGCAGACCAGAGCTTGGGTTTTACTTCACTAGGTAGTGATTTGTGTCGCTCCATCCACAAAGTGCTTTCCACTCTGTCAAAATCTGGTTTTACATAGGTTTCCTTATAGCTAAGTCTCCTCATCCCTAGTTGCAGACAAGTTGTAGTGATTTGTGTCGCTCCATCCACAAAGTGCTTTCCACTCTGTCAAAATCTGGTTTTACATAGGTTTCCTTATAGCTAAGTCTCCTCACCCCTAGTTGCAGACAAGTTGTACAGTAGTGATAATGAAACTGAAGGGTTCCCCTGACAATTTTTGTCCAGTCGTGTCCCACTCTAGAGGGCGGCGCTCATCCCGCTCTTCAAGCCATAGAGCCAGCATTTGTCCGAAGACAATCTTTCCGTGGTCACATGGCCAGCGTGGTTATACACAGAACACTGTTTACCTTCCCACCGAGATGGTACCTATTTATCTGCTTGCATTTGCATGCTTTCGAACTGCTAGGTTGGCGGGAGCTGGGACAGGCGACGGGCGCTCACTCCATTGCGTGGATTCGAACTTACAACTGCTGGTCTTCTGACCCTGCAGCACAGGCTTCTGCGGTTTAGCCCACAGCGTCACCACGTCCAGCGCAGACAAGTTGTAGTGATAATGAAACTGAAGTTGTGGTCTTGTGCGAAGCTCGCCAGGAAGATGTCAGTTATGTAATTTGGGGAAAATCTTTATATTTCTTGTAGCCATCTTACCTCAAAAATATTGTTTAACCCGAGAATATGCAGGAAAGGGCAGGGGAGAAGGTAGAACGTTAGCGACTTTTTGCTTTTAAAAAAGAGCAAGTTATGGTAACAATAATAATAGTTATCAATTCACTTCCTATGAATGAGTGGTCTCCAGAATATCTTATTAACAGTTCTGCTTAGCTCTGGCAAATTCAAGCCTGTGGCTTCCCTTATCCAGTCAATCTGTCTCATATTTGGTCTTCACCTTTTCCTGCTCCCTTCAACATGGGACACAACAGAGGTGTGTGAAATGAAGGCGGGGAGAAAGTTGATGAGGGAAAATGTTTATTCTCTGTATTGGCGAAGGCTTTGTGCTCTGTGCTACTCCAGTCCTCTGAAGGTGCCGGCCACAGAGACTGGCGAAAGGAAGTGTTCTGAAGGAAGAACAACCTTCAGAACACGGCCAAAGAGCCCGAAAAACCCACAACAACAATTTTTATTCTCACTTACGTAATGCTAGAATTCAAACCTTAGTGTAATGAAGCTGAATGGTGGGAGAATCAGAACAGATAAATGGATGTATTGTACTTCACTCAGTGCAGATTTACTAAAAATACAAAATTTACCACTACCAAGGCATGGCTGCCAAGTTCTATGGTTTAATGGGGGAACAAACAAATTTATGGAATATAGGTCTGTCAATGGTTTCTAGTTATGATGGTTATATATTATGTATATTATCAGAGGAAGTGTGTTTCTGAATAACAGTTGCTAGGAAAGATGAGCAGAAGGGTTCTATTGTACTGCATTCCTGTTTTGCCTGTGGACTTCTTAGCAGCATCTGCTTGGCCAGTTTGTACAGAATCCTAGACCAGATAGGCCTTTGATCTCATCCAGCAATTCTCTTTTGGAGTCACCATTGTGGTAGACAGTTGTATTTGTCTGACAACTTTTAGGTTTATTTATGTGGCTTTGGGTCTGGGCAGTAATTTGTTAGAAGGTGTTTGGGCTTCCAAGGTAAGCCACTTTATGTCTTCAAAGAGAGAAGGATGGATGATGATAGCAAACTAGTTTAGTGGCCCCTAGTAGGTCTGGAAGCAAACACATTGTAGTTCTGCTCAAGAACACTGAGTTCTAATTTTGATGTAAAGCCAAAGTATGTTTGCCACTCTGCTGCTACTGCATTGCTTTATCTGCCTAATTAGTCTGAGCCTTTAGAATTGTAGCCTAAGGCTAGATTCCTTTGGGGTGTGTGTATGCATGCACACATGCACAGTGGTCATCACAGAAGGATGTCTTGTCTGATGCACTGATTTCAAAATCAATTGTATGATGGATGCTCCAGCAAAAGGTATTGTGGTCCATTACTACAATTCACCTACCTGAAAGTAGGTCCCATAGAACCCAATGATTCTTATCTTTTATTTTATTTTCCTTCCTTCCTTCCTTCCTTCCTTCCTTCCTTCCTTCCTTCCTTCCTTCCTTCCTTCCTTCATTCATTCATTCATTCATTCATTCTGTTTATATCCCACCTATCTGTTCGTTGCGACCACTCTAGGTGGCTACCATTCTCCTGATGAAGAGACCAAGGCAAGCGTTTCTGAGTAGGCAACCATAGGATTGCTGAGTAGCCAAATATAAGATTGAACTTCAAATTACAATCTTAACATAATCCATTTTTACTTTAAACCAAGGCTGGGTACCTTTGGAAGGTCTGAGGGTTAATTTTAGGGGCTGACCATTCCAGATGAGCAAAAACAATTTAAAATATATATAAATCACATGTTGCCGGGACTTCTACTGTGAATGTTAGAGTTGAGGGGGTTGTACTTCCTTTTGGCAGGAGCAACTGGGCTCTGCAAAACACATGCCTCCTCCCGCCACAGCTGCCACTACCTACTCCTACTTTAAGTGCATGACTGTTCTAGAGTACTAGAATTCTATGGCTGTTTTTTGGTGTGCATATAATTAATTTTTAGTGCTGGATTTCTCAAACTGGCATGGAGCTGCGGGCCTAGAGCAGGGTCAGGCGACTATGGCCTTCCTGTTGCCTGTAGCTGGCAACTCAGATTAGTCGTAGCAAGCATAGCCAATGGTGAGGGATTATAGAGTTTGCCATTCAAAAACATCTGGAGGAACACAATTGTTCAACCCAGTTTCCAAACTGTCATTGAAAGACAATGAGTCTCTATGTACTGTAGCCCTAGGTTACCTCCAAATGACACAGGAAAAAGCCATGCATATACAATGGGGTGGGCACAACGAACATGGGTTAGACTGATGGGTCCAGAGAGAAGTGACATAAGGAGGAATCTAGCAGGAGAAGATTGGTCTGAAAAAGGAAACTGTGAGCCTGGTAAACCCAATTATTATTTATTCATGTCAGAGTGTTGTTATATTCAGAAAGGTTATATTAACATTCACTTGTAAGAGATTAAAAAACAAAATATTAAAAGAGGATGCGCATAAAATACAACAGTATATGATTAATTATATATTAAAAGAAATACAGTACATTAAATAATTATAAATCAAAATTGTTCTATATCAATTGCATTAGCTCTCCTCCTCACAAGATCGTCTTCCATGCATATTGTAAGACATAATGAACATGAATGGTAATGTCCCCTATTTTGGTTTTCTCCACATTCAAATGTTGTTACTCCAGCAGATAAATGTTCCAGTTTCTCTAAATTGTCTTTAGATCTTCCAATGCCATTTCAATCCAGAGACTTCCAAACATCCCATCCAGCATTATATCTTGATGTTAGCTACTCAACTGGTTCTATCCATTCCACTGGATAGGGAGTTCTACAGCTCCTCAAACCTAGCCTGGCCTTCTCCGGTCAAACATTTAGTGCTGCAGTAGTGCTTAAGAAGCTCTTTTGAGATTTCAGTCTTCTCCTAGGAGGCTGCTCCTCCTATAAAAGATATGCTACATTTTGTGATACCTTGCCTCTTTCGCTGTTTTCTTAATAGGCAGTTCCTCAGAGCAACGTTATGCTTGATGTTTTAGCAGTGTTTTTTAGATGTGAATGTCCAGTCCAAAATAATATTGTGCTTAAATATTTTGGAGAGACTTTAGTTGTATACCTCCCATCCTGGGCTACTTATACTGTAATTTCCTTGCCATTTCTTTATTTCTTAGATGAAAGGCACAGATTTGTAGGGGATTAAGGTTTAGATGGCCATCCCTGTAGCATGCGCTAAGTGCTTGTAAGGCAGTGGTATGTTGGTGTTCCACATCTTCAGAATTGTAACTCTCAACTGATAGAGCTAGATCATCAACATAGATAAAACCGTTTGTATTTGGGGTTATAGGTTAATCATTCGTGTACTGTATCTGTTGAAAAGAAGCAGGGATGACATTACCCTGAGGTAGGCTATTTAAAAAAAATTCTATGACTTCTCTCTTGAAATTCAACAAAAATATCTATGGGCCTGAAGGAGCATAGCAACCATTTTTGTAAGTCCATCATTTTGTAATATAGTGCAGTTTATTCAGCATTTTTTAAATGGTGGACATTAAAAATTGTACGCAGGAGTTAGGTCAACAAAGGTTGCTCCCATAACTTTATGAGTTTCCAGACCTTCCTCTCTATGCTGATCTCAGTTGAACTATACAGCTGTTACTAGGCCTAAAGCCTGTCTATTGATGAATAAGAAGATTCAACTGTGGGTATGTATGTATGTATGTATGTATGTATGTATGTATGTATGTATGTATGTATGTATGTATG